GCGACGAAGGCGTGATTGGTTGATCTACCTTGTAAGACCTCTCGCCAGATGGTTAGGGTGCAACTATAGCTTGGTAAAGTACTTTTCCTTCTGTTCTGCGATCACATCTTTGACTGGTAGAATGTTTAAGTCGCGATGTATGTTTTCGTTGCGAACGTACCACGGTGCCCCGGTGATTGTTCTCAAGATCTTCGACTGAGCTCGCTGGACTATGTCAATATTGCTATTGCTGGCATTCCCCCATAACTGGGAGCCGTACATCCATATAGGTTTTAGTACCGAGTTATACAGCAGGACTTTATATTCAAAACTAAGGGGAGACCGAGCGTTGATAAGCCAATGAGGGCTACTGGCTTTTAGCTTTAGGTGTGTTCTTTTGGCTTCAATGTGCCGGCGCCATGTGAGTCTTCTGTCGAGGTGTACTCCTAGATATGTCACTTCGTTTGCTTGCGGGAGTAGAGTATGGTTTAACATGAGCGGCGGGCAGTTTTGCCTGTTCAGGGTGAACGTAACGTGCTTGCATTTTTGTTGGTTCACTTTAATTCGCCAATCTGATAGCCACTTTTCAACATCGACCAGATGAAGAGCGAGCTGCGCAGTTGCTTGCATCGGGCATTTTGAGCGGCTGAGAATGGCTGTATCATCAGCAAACGTAGATGTTGTTAGTCGTGTGCTTGTTGGGATGTCTGCTGTGTAGAGGACATATAATGTTGGCCCGAACACGCTTCCTTGAGGAACTCCAGCTCCAATAGTGAAATCGTCAGTTATAGCAGTGCTGCATCGAACAGCAAATTTTCTGTCGTAGAGGTAAGACTCTAAAAGCTTATGGGTGTTGTAGGGGAGCATTGTCTTGATCTTGTACATTAGAACTTCTAGCCAAACTCTATCAAATGCTTGAGAGACGTCTAAAAATATGGCATTACAGTACTCTCGTTTTTCGAACGCGTTCCGAATTTCTGATGTTATCCGGTTGACCTGCTCAATTGTTCCGTGCTTTTCACGAAACCCAAATTGTGACGGAATTCCTTCCTGGATTCTTAGGTATGTGTTTATCCGAGTCAATACGCACTTTTCAAAGAGTTTAGATAAGCATGAGAGTAGGCTTATAGGTCTATACGACGTGGGAACTGTGTGGTCTTTTCCCGGCTCTGCTATCATTATTATAATCGATATAGCGATGGCATTAAAAAGCTGGGTGATAGTGCAAACGGCGCACTATGGGAGCTCAATGATCATTTTGGGAGTTATGAGGTCGCAGCCCGGGGATTTTTTCGGATTCAGCTGATTTTTGATGATGTTAACGATTTCGTTTGGGCGAAACTCAATTGGTTCATGTTGAAGCTGAGGCTCATATGGTAAAGTCGGCAAGGTGAACGCACTAGTGGCAGGATTTGTTTGGAAGACATTTTTAAGGTGGTTGGCAAACGTGCTGGCTCTGTCCGCATCGCTGCGCGCCCAGCCGCCTGTGGGATTTCCAACGGTTACTTTCGGTGAGCTTAGAGTAGGGTGAGCTCTCCATAGTGAGTGTTTTGTACTAGATGTTGACAATTGCTCTATGTAGCGTCGGTGGACATGTGCTTCTTCGTGCTGTAAAGCTTTTGTGAGTTGACGTGAGGCATATTTTAAGCTTTGCCTAGCAGATGGCGATCTGTGGAGTTGCCACTCTCGACGTAAGCGTCGCTCTTCGAGGACGAGCTGTTCTATTTGTAGATTTTGTCTTCTTTTGGTTGCTTTGCGTACTGGTAGTTTGGGTTGTTGAAACTCGAGCTGCAGAGACGAGTACAGACTCCAGTATATTAACAAATCTGTCTACGTTGGCTTCATCGTTGATGAGGACTTAGCTCAATGTGTGAGCTAATGTATTTTTGTACTTATCCCAATTGGTTTTCTGTGATGTCAATTTAAACCTGGATGTCGGAGTATAATAAACAGGACAGGCGAGTGATCCGATGAAAGATCCGAGAGGCATTCGGCGCTTATCAGATTTTTAGGAATGTTTTTGGTAATTGAAAAGTCTATTAAATCGGGTAGTTTCCTTGGGTCTGCCGGCCAGTATGTTGGTCTGCCAGGAGAAACATAGTCCGGCTTGTTCTTGGCTTTTATAACTGCATTATAGAGCTGTTTTCCTTTTGGAGTCACGAGACGTGATCCCCAGTGTGTGTGCTTGGCGTTGTAGTCCTCTGCTGCTATGAAGTGGTCTCCTAGTGAGTTGAAAAACTGCATAAACTCATCTTCAGCTATGGTGAAGCGAGGGGGGCAGTAATACGGCGGCTAGTGTAAGTTGGTTGCCAGTATTTGTTTGTATATTTATAGATGATTCCTGTAGGTAATTTTTAGCAAATTTGTTATGATAGTGGTGCTTAATACGGCTTCTGATTAGAATTCCAGTCCCACCATATGCTTTACCATCTGGATGATTTGTTCCGTAAAATGAATAACCTCGTAGTTGAAAATTGTATTTGTTTTTAAGGTGTGCTTCTGAAAGCAGCATTACGTAGATATGGTTGTAGAGTAGGAATTGAGCTAACTCAAGTTTATGCTGTGAGACGCGATATCCTTAGGGAAGTCATTATTTGGATTGTTGTGAAACCAGCATTTGAATCAATAGATTTTGGTTTCGCATTAAATCTTGCATAGTTGTGCGCATAAACGACATAAACTCCGTAAGGCTTTGCTGCAGGCTGTATATCATATCTTCGAAGTTGCTTTTTGACTGCTCCGAGAATTGTTGCTGCTGAGCCGTGTTCGGTACTTGGTATGCTGATTGCAGAAATGAACTTTTTGAGACAGGGTTAGCCAGTCCTGATTTTAAAGCGCTTGCGTAAGTCACATTTTTATCAGAGTTTAAGGGTCCTAGTGAGGATCTGGCTGCAGTCGAGAAGAATACTTCAGGGTTTGATCTGGAAGTTGTCATCTGTTTATTTTGGGTGCGGGCGGCAGTTCCTCTCTGGTGGATGCGACCTTTCAGCTCCTGCCTCTGTAGTTAGCAGTGTGATTGCCACCGCAGTTGCCGCACTTTTTCGAGTTGCAGACATCTTTGCTCGCTGGGCAGTGTGCGGAGTCATGAAGATTTCCACAAACTACACACACCGGGCGCAGTTTACAGTATGACCTTGTATGGCCATATTCTTGGCAGTTCGCACATTGTACCGGGCCATTGCGTTTGTGCGGTTCCTCAACTGTAATTCTGCGGTGCAGCAGGAAATGAAGATTGTAAATGGGGTGCACTTCGTATTTCTTTAGGGGCTTATTTTCTGGTTCGAGCTCAACCTTAAAGAGTGGCTGCATCTTTCTATCCCTGTTAAGGATGTTGAAGACTGTCTTAGCGCTAAATCCCTTCTCTTGTAGCGCCTTTGTTATCTCTGCAGGCGTTACGTCGGACTCTATGCCCTTAAGTACGACTTGCAGGCCCTTGCTACTTTTTAGCTGATACGTGTAAAAGTTCTTTTTATCCTAAGAAAAATGTTTCGATAATACTCTGTAATTATCTTCAGACTTCATTTGAACCTTTGTTTCCTGGATGTTGCCCTTTACTAGAGGTATTATGTGGAAGTTATCCTTTCCAATAAGCTCGATAATTTTTTTGACAAGAACATTGGAACTTTTTTCCCGAATATAAATAGGCGGAGGTTTTGGCTTCCTTTTCTCGACTTCAGTGGATTCGGCTGCCTCAATGTCATAGGCGTCTTCCAAGATTTTAAATCGGTTTGAGTTCATGGGCGTTTCTATTCCAGCTAGGCTAGCATTGTTACGGGTTATTTTGCGTTGAGAATTTAGAGGCCTCAGCTTCCTTTTGATTTGGATGTAGCGATCCATACCAGTCTGCACAGCCGGCTTAGCACATTCATTGGTTTTGTTCTGTTTTTCGGGCAGCGCAGCGGCAGACGTATTAATATTTGCGCTGCTAGCTGATGATGTCATTAAACGCGCTGTCGATACGGTTGCAGTTGTTGTTGTAGTTACAGTTGACGTTGTTAAAGAAATTGCGGTGCTAGTTACTGCTGATGAACTTAGGTTATTGCATACCTGCATTGGAGCAAGAACGCGCTCTCTCGCTCGCTACGTTTAAGAACTCGGTCAAGTTGGGGGTAATTGCCCGCGCTTGATCAGAGCTTTCATTATTTTCGGTTGCTTTAAAAGAGAAGTACGCGTTATTTCTTTGTACTGAGCGCCGTCCCCCGTCTTGCTCACGTTGACGTTGTGTGCGAACGTCGTTCAGACTCATTGTTTTCGTGGTAAAGTTAATTAGAGTTTTAAGTGTTAAGTTTTATATTAATTAAATGACCAATCAATATAAACATTCGCGATTTCATCGCAGAAAGCGTCTTTTCGCGTTGTAGTAGATTTATTAAAACGGTCACTGCACTTTTGTGATTTTATTGAATACTTTTTCCCGGAGCACAATAAATACACGTCTGCATGTGACGACGGTTCAACAACTTATTATAAAATATTAAGGTAGAAAAAGTTAGTTATAACAAGAAAGGAAGCAAACTTCGGCAAGCCTAAGTTTATATACCCTTGAAGTTATTACAAAACGACTACATTTCGATTTATATGCCTATATTACTAAAAACAATAAAGCTATGTCGATTTGCGCTGCATTTGGCCATCGTTTCTATGGCAGCTATATGATATCGTTGTCCGATTTTAATTTAATTAACACTGTAATTCCAAAGAACAAAAAAAAGTTTTGTCAAAATCGAGCAACAATATCATGTAGGTGCCATAGAAGCGATGGCAAAATTAAGCACAAAATCAACATAGCTTCATTGGTTTTAGTATTATAGACATAGAAATCGAAATGTAGTCGTTTTGGTATAACTGCAAGGGTATATCAACTTCGGCTCGCGATGTTTGCTTCTTTTCTTGTTTAATTTAAAATGATGTGAACAAAAAATATATATTCACGTTTACACAAATCCTAATTTCTTTACATTTTAATAACATCTTTATCCAAACCTGTTGTATAAAAAATTGGATCTTTTTCAATCTTTCAGGATAAACATGAACGTGAAGAAGAGGAACGCAAACGTCGAATTCAACTATATGTGTTTATATCGCGATGCATTTCATACCCGTTTAATGCTAAACAACCCACGGATATGACTAAGCGGCAAACAAAAATTACCAAACAGCAATTAGAAATTATAACCCAAAGATTTCAAGTAAGATGAAAGAAATGCAAAAACAATGTCCGAAACTAAAAACATAATAATTTATCCCTGGAAAACTAATAACAAACAGTACACCGTAGCACACACAAAACGCTTAACACTCTTAGAATGATCGACAAAAAAAAGTTATACACTGACACGACGAGAAATGTATGAGGAACAGGTCAAATCTGCTCCATAAGTTGGCTTTGATCAATAGAAAATAGATAACTTCGTTTATGATTTGTTTTCTGTAAAAATAAACTTTTTAGTGAACGAGCAATCAAATTTCTCTGTATAAACTTATATAGTCAGAGTTATAGGATAGCTGTAATTTTATTATAATCGGACCGCAATGTGATAGAAAAGATCATTGTTTTTGTACCCTTGCAGAGGGTATTATAATTATAATTTTCGGAGACATCTCCGACCCTATAAGGTATATATATTCTTGATCAGGATCGCGTCCTGAGTTGATATAAGCATGTCGTTGAAACTTTGCACACACCCGGCCGGGATCGGCCGAATGTATCCTATAGCCGCCATATTTTTTATGGTTTTTATTTTTGGCCAACCAATATAATTTACAGAAGTTAGTTGCAGAAGTTACCCGAAGTTAGCTTTCTTGTTCAATTTTATAAAATTCGAATGACTATTCATATAGCTAACATAGAAAAAGTTTAAAAGTGAATAGGAAAATCAACATAACTTCCCTTTCTTACAAAAACTTATATGAGCTAAAATACAAATATTGTTTACGATTCCAAAAACACATTTTATTGTTTAAAAAAATCGAATGACTATATAGAGCTACCACGGACCTATCGAAAAATTAATCTAAAATCGATATTGCTTTAAGTTACCTTTTAAGCATATACGCATTAAAATCGATGTTTAGACGTTTTATGGAATATAGAATTTTTGTTATACCTGCACTTATATATTTAAAGTATATTTATGCGCCTTATGGGCGAAGAGCGGCAACGCATGCGCAAGGAGCAGGAGAAGCGCTGTAAAGAAGGAACAGAAGGTTTTTCTAGGCAAAAACAATTCCAGGCCCAAGTTTTCGTTCTCCCTGAAACCGAGAGCGTTATAAAGGTCTGATGACCATCGCATCTTTTTCTTGTTACCTCACTGGCTTTTTGCATGTGCCAAAGATCATTTACTCGTTTTCGTTGTTGTGTGTGTTCTATATTATTTTATTTTTTAAGGACGAGCAATGGTGTTAGGAGCAGGGGAAACGGAGCCAATAGATTCACCGTTTTTAAAATTGCCAATTACTGAACGTATACAGCTCCATATAGAACAATACGCTAGCTATTTACTTAACCTTTTCTACATAAAAAATTCATATGTTGGGAAAATTATTATGTGTAGTGCATCGTACTGTTGACAATTAACAAAAAACCAAAAACAGATGTCAGTGAAAACATATGTAATCTATTAGCAATTTTTGTTGTTTTTTTATGTTCTTTGGGATTTGGAATATGTTTATATATGTTAATATGGAATTACGGTTATAACTAAATTAAGATTATGTTCGCAAGGAACACCAACCCGTCCGTCCGTTTCTACGCAAACTAGTCCCTCAGTTTTAAAGCTATCTGCTTAAAACTTTTCCAAAAGTTGTCTTTCTATTGCATGTATCTCCCATAGGAACAATCGGAAAAAAATATAACTTTGTTGTTTTTAATTTTTTTTATGTCTTTTGGGATTTGGAAATATATATGTTAAAGGGTGGCCAACGAAGGATTTGCGTTTTAAAATCGCTATAAAAAAACAAAGAGTATATATTTTTCAAAATTTGTTTTTATTGGATAGCCTCAACATTGCGGTTTATGTATGAATCACCACTTTGTTCATATGGCTGCCTCGGCTGGCTTCGGTCGACCCAATTTTTAAACACATTTTCGATGGTATGGCCCTCAATAGCCCTGATGGCGACTTCAATCTCGTGCTTTAGGTCGTCAATCGTCTCTGGGTGGTTGGCGTAACACTTATCCTTGACGGCACCCCACAAACAATAGTCCAACGGGGTCAAATCGCAGCTGCGAGGCGACCAGTTGACATCGTCGTTTCGGCTGATTATGCGATTTTCGAACGTACCGCGCAAAAGATCGATTGTGACGTTGGCTGTGTGCCACGTAGCGCCGTCCTGCTGGAACCATATGTCGTCTATGTCTTCCTCTTCCATTCGGGGAAAAAAAAAGTTGTTCCAACATGCCGCGATAGCGGACACCATTAACGGTTACGGCGGCTCCTTCCTTGTTTTCAAAGAAAAACGGCCCAATGATGCCACCCGACCACATACCGCACCAAACAGTCACTCGTTGTGAATGCATTGGCTTCTCCAAGACGACGTATGGATTTTCTGAACCCCAAATGCGACAGTTTTGCTTATTAACATAACTACCGAGGTGGAAAGACTCTCATCAAAAAACACGATTTTTCGGTAAAAATGGTCATCTTCGACCAAGCGCTCCTGAACCCATTCCGCGAACCGAAAACGCATTGGATGGTCATGCTAACTGAATCTTATATGGCCTTAGACGGAGGTCTTTGGTTAAAATCCGTTGCAGTGAAGTGCGCGAAACGTCCAACTCTTGAGCACGGTGCCGAGTTGACGTCGACGGATTGTCATTGACACTTTCGGCCACCGCAGCGATTTTTTACAACCTTTGATGTATGTTTAAATTTTTGAGTTTTTCCGGCTCGAGGTCAACAATTGAAAAATGTTTTAAATAAAAGTATTTAAATTTTATTTTTTATTTTTTCCAATATATAAAAACAGCACTTATGGCACACTGTAAAACCAGCGATCACTCGCCAAATTTTGAAGCAACGACTATTTTGGAACAAGAACAACATTACAAAAAACGCTTCACCATAGAAATATAAGACTGAACTACAAAACAGACGTTGAAAATTGCGCTCACATTTACAGACACTTACTTAATAACAACTAGTATTAATCTCCACGTCCGACGGTGCAGACGTGTAAAATTATGTAGGTGTAATAATTTTTAAAGCTTTGTTTTTTATTGTCTAAATTTATGTTATTTTATGTGTTTTTATGTTGATTATAGTTGCCCTGAACACGGTTGCCGAAGTGCAACCGAAATATATTGGAAAAAATAAAAAATAAAATTTAAAAACTTTTATTTAAAACATTTTTCAATTGTTGACCGCGAGCCGGAAAAACTCAAAAATTTATATATAAATAATATATATTAATACATTTTTTGGTACTACAGAGAAAGAAACTTAAAGGAGAGACAATAGAAATACAATAACAACAAATCAGCACCGAACTTAATGCTTAAATGGTTTTATTTTTCTAAATAAAAATTAACAAAACATAAAAGCGATTAATTTGTATCGGTGGTTTTCGAAATAAACTGAAAATTAGGTGCGCAAAACATAAACACGTCCGTTCACTGTGAAGAGCGAAACCCATTTTATAAATAAGTTTTTTTTGGCGAATCGCCTTTCCGAAAGGAAAGTAAGGGGTTACATGCATGTCAGTAAAACTATTTTTGCGAATGCATTTTTGTCATAGAAAATAGTTCTCTAATGAACTCATCATTGTTTGTAGGGGTAAGCTGCTATCAACAGCGCCCAAAATCAACTTATTAAGGCATATGTTTATTTTCGACACTTGGAGAATAAAAGAGTTTATAGTGTTACCTACTTTACAACGAATAATAATAATAATATCGTTAATAGTAATGTTAGTCGAGTCGATTTAGCAATATAAGCATGTCAATCCGTCTGTCATGCTTCTATGAACGTTGGGATTTGAAAAACAATAAGAGCTGGACCACTTGCAGATGCCTAGGTAGTAATGCCTCTCCAGCGCAAGTTAGTTTCAAAAAATCAAACGCCCAACTAAATGCAAACTTCTGTGGCGTGATAATAGATACAAGTTTCTAGCGGTGTATATTTATTCGATCCATATTTAGCAAAATTACCGAATCGGAATAAACCTTGGTGTCTTTAAAAATTGTTAAAAAGTTAAAATAACTTGTCATCGGTGTCATGACATCATTTATTTACTTCACAGAAGAGATCAAACTGGTATTATATGTATATTAAATTGTAATCTTGTCATAAACACTGCAAATAATAATTAAATTTTATTTTAGGCGTTTCTTAAAGGTGAAACACAAATAATGGCTGATGAAGCATTTCAAAATGCTGTACAGAGTTACCATGACGTGTTTCTTAAATCAGAACGAGTTTTAAAGATGGTACAGTCTGGTGCTTCATCGCAACATGATTTTCGCGAAGTTTTTCGCAATAATATAGAAAAACGCGTCAGGTATAATCAAAAATTGCTTAACCATGATTAAATAATCATTATGCTTTTTTAAGATCTTTACCAGAGATCGACGGTCTTAGTAAGGAAACCGTGTTAACTTCTTGGATGGCAAAATTCGACATAATATTAAAAGGTACTGGAGAAGAAGATTCAAAACGACCATCTCGTATGCAGCAATCACTTAATAGCGAGCTAATTTTATCAAAAGAGCAATTGTATGATATGTTTCAACAAATATTGTTAGTTAAAAAATTTGAGCATCAAATTTTATATAACGCACTGATGGTAAGTTCTAGTTTTTTAATACTCATCTTTAAATTTAAATAAAAATGCAAATAACTAATATTTTAGTTGGACTCCGCTGATGAACAAGCAGCAGCTATAAGAAGGGAGTTAGATGGAAGAATGCAACGCGTGGGAGAAATGGAAAAAAATCGCAAACTTATGCCAAAATTTGTACTCAAAGAAATGGAGTCTCTATACGTTGAGGAGCTTAAGTCGTCAATAAATCTTCTAATGGCAAATCTTGAATCTCTTCCAGTTTCAAAAGGAAATATGGATAGTAAATATGGACTTCAAAAACTAAAACGTTATAACCACAGGTTAAATAACTTATTATTTTAATTATTAAATATTATAATAATTTTGTTCTTTCCACTCTTGCTTCTTGTATTGACTTACAGTACACCGTCATTTTTGTAAGTTACCTTTAATCAATATGTTAAATAATATATTAGAGTTTTTCTTTTGAAATTCAACTAGTTACGTTAATCGGTTTCCCTATAACCTGGATACATTCTTGATCAGAATGAACGTTGGTCTCCCAATGTCTGTCTATTCGTTTGTTCAAATTAACCTGAAGATCTCAGGAACTATTTAAGCTAGAGATATTTATTTTATTTATATAAAGCTAGCTTAAGTTTTAAAAACTATGAACTAACTATAATAAGAGCATTAGCAGCTGAGACCTTCCACTCGTCTGGGAAGACAGTAATAATCTAATTTAAAGGAATGAGAACCATTTTAGATTTTGTGAATAAGTTGGGCTTTTTGAAAAAATGAAATGATTTTAGTTTTGTTTTCGTTGGAAGAGTTTGCTATGATGTTGGCGAAAAGCTCGAAGGAGTATTTTTAATGATATTGTTATACCAGGAAGAGGTATTGTTATGCAGGTCGGATTGTTTTAGTTTAATGTATTTTTTGAGGTAGTGTGTAGTGTCGTTAGTGTTGTTGTTTTATGTGTATATAAGAGGGTATTTTTGTGTTTTTTTTGCTGTTCTCATTGCCTTTTATGCCGATGTGACTGGGGATCCAAATGAGTTTAATTTTTGGGAAAAGATTGGTAATTAGGTTTCTTATGATTGTATTGTTGCCATCGTGGATAGCTTTTAATTCGCTTGTAAAAACAGAGGAATAGATAGGAAGAAGACCACATTTGATGGTGCTGTTTTCGTCGGTTACGCTAAAGCTTGATATGCCATTTGCCATCGAGCCATCGGTGTATAGGAATTTTGTTATTTGATAGTTTGCCCGTTAAAAGTTCTCTCCTGTGTTTTATTGTATATATGTTGGATTTAATGAGAAGGTGGTTGGTTGGTGTAGTACGGAATGCGCCTAGTGTGTAGGTGCGCTTCCATAGATAGGTAAGCAGTAGTCGACTTTAGTAATTAGGATGGATTTGATAATTTGGATAAGGGATGAGGTGTTAGTGTTGTATTCTGGGGAGGATAGGTGTTTGATGATGTTTAGGGTTTCCAGAGGCTATCTTTTAGTCTGATTATGTGGGTGGACCAGTTGTATTTATTATTAATGGTGAGGCCTAGGATTTTTGTGGTGCTAGTTTCAGTGATAGTTAGGTAACCAGTATATATTTTTGCTCTGCAATTGTGTTTCCGTGAAGGTGTTGACTTTTTTCGATCGAGAGGGAGGAACCTGAGTGCGTACACCATTCTTTAATTTTTTGGAAGACAGCTGTTAGATTTGTAGAGGGGTTTGTTTTTCTTTTGTGTTCTATGATTATTTGAAAATCGTCAGCGTAGGCCCTAAACTTAAATTGTCTAGGAATGGAAATGGTGTTACAAAGGGAATTGTAGGCAATTAGGATAACAGAGATGGGTGAGCCTTGAGGGATGCCGTTGTCAAGTGGGAAAGGGTTGGAAAGTGAGATTCCGTTTTTGATTATGATTTCTCTGTTGTTCATAAAGTTGGCGACGTATTTTAGTATTCGGGGGCCTACTTTTCATTTTTGGAGTTGGTGGATGAGGAAATGAATACCTATTTTATCAAAGGCTTTTGCGTAATCTAGGGATATGATAGAATGGTGGTGTTAGTTTGGGTGAAAGGGTTATAGATAGTGTGGATATGTTTAGTGGGATAGAGTCCGCATAGACGTTTAACGTTTGCCCACACTCTAGTTGGGTCCGAGTTGGGTTGGATTTCGGAGGTGAAGTAGTTGTACTTTACGTTGGCTTTTTTGAATTCGACTATATTTTCTGAACTTATGCTAGCTCTAAGCAACTTCCATTTTGTGTTTTTGATGTGTTTAAGGAAAGCTAGGTCGTTGTTCCACCAGGGAACAGTACGTTTGAGGGTAAAGATAGAGTTTTGGGGTATAGAGAGGTGGGCCCTTTGAATTATAACTTTCTTAATTATGGCAGCTTCTTTGTTTATATTATTGGTAATACCTGAGCTGCCGTTTTCCCTTTTCAAAGTCTTTTTAACTTCGCATACGTCCTGATTAGCAAGTTCTTTTTGGATAATATTTTCTTCTCTTCCTCTTAGATCATTAGAATAGAATACACCTTTGGTTAAGTTTAGTGTGTTGTGGATACTCACTTCGATTTTTATGCCGGGTGCAAAAGCTTTTAATGCGAGCAATCTATTGGCTTGAATGTTTGTTTTGATGAGTGGTGTTCCGTTTCTCAGTTTGTTGCAGTCTTCAACCTCACCGCAACAGGTGAAGTCAGTTTGTTTTTTGATTAGAAATGGGTTGATGTTGCTAAGATCTAGATGTAGATCACATCTTTGATAATAAGGTATTTTGGGCCATTAGATTTTATTTGTGCCACATTTTTGTCGTGGGCAGTTAATGGACCTCGATCGGGGGTTCCCCCATCACTGTGTTTTCAACAGTTGGTTAAGTCCTGCACTTGTTTGCTTTGCGCACTTGTGGTTACTGTTAAGATTTTGGTGAGTGTTGTTGGTATTTTTTTTTTTTTTATGTTTTGGGTTTGCTTTGGCAGCGAGGGCAAGTCTGAGCTCTATGAGAGTGAGTTTGTGACTGCCATATAACTGAACGATCGGAAATGCCATAACTTTGGTGTTTTTAAAGTTAAGAAGTTGGTATTTTTTATGGACTTTATTTTTGGCCAACCAATATAATTTGCAGAAGTTAGTTTCAGAAGTTACCCGAAGTTAGCTTTCCTTTCTTGTTCAATTTTATAAAATTCGAACGACTATTCATATAGCTGACATAGAAAAAGTTTAAAAGTGAATAGGAAAATCGACATAACTTTCCTTTCTTACATAAACTTCTTACATAAACGATTCCAAAAACACATTTTATTGTCTGTAAAAATCGAATGACTATATGGAGCTACCACGGACCTATCGAAAAATTAATCTAAAATCGATATGGCTTTAAGTTACCTTTTAAGCATATACGCATTAAAATCGATGTTTAGACGTTTCATGGAATATAGAATTTTTGTTGTACCTGCAAGACATATATACTTCGGCTTGCTGACGTTTTCACTTTTCTTTCAAGTATATTTAAAGTATATTTATGCGCCTAATGGGCGAAGAGCGGCGACGCATGCGCAAGGAGCAGGAGAAGCGCTGTAAAGAAGGAACAGAAGGTTATTCTAGGCAAAAACAATTCCAGGCCCAAGTTTTCGTTCTCTCTGAAACCGGGAGCGTTATAAAGGTCTGATGACCGTCACATCTTTTTCTCACTGGAGTTTTGCCTGTGCCAAAGATCATTTACTCGTTTTCGTTGTTGTGTGTGTTCTATATTATTTTATTTTTTAAGGACGAGCAATGTGTTAGGAGCAGGGAAAAAGGAGCCAATAGATTTACCGTTTTTAAAATTGCCAATTACTGAATGTATACAGCTCCATATAGAACAATACGCTATCTATTTACTTAACCTTTTCTACATAAACAATTAATATGTTGGGCAAATTATTATGTGTAGTGCATCGTACTGTTGACAAAATTGTAATCTATTAGCAATTTTTGTTGTTTTTTTATGTTCTTTGGGACTTGGAATATGTATATATATGTTACTATGGAATTACGGTTATAATTAAATTAAGATTATGTTCGCAAGGAACACCAACCCGTCCGTCCTTTCCTACGCAAACTAGTCCCTCAGTTTTAAAGCTATCTGCTTTTCCAAAAGTTGTCTTTCTATTGCATGTATCTCCCATAGGAACAATTGGAAAAAAATATAACTTTGTTGTTTTTAATTTTTTTTATGTCTTTTGGGATTTGGAATATATATGTAAAGGGTGGCCCACGAAAGATTTGCTTTTTAAAATCGCTATAAAAAAACAACGAGTATATATTTTTCAAAATTTTTTTTTATTGGATAGCCTCAACATTGCGGTTTATGTATGAAACACCACTTTGTTCATATGGCTGCCTCGGCTGGCTTCGGTCGACCCAATTTTTAAACACATTTTCGATGGTATGGCCCTCAATGGTCCTGATGGCGACTTCAATCTCGTGCTTTAGGTCGTCAATCGTCTCTGGGTGGTGGCGTAACACTTATCCTTGACGGCACCCCACAAAAAATAGTCCAATAGTCCATTTGACCCAAATCGCAGCTGTGAGGCGGCCAGTTGACATCGTCGTTTCGACTGATTATCTTATTTTCGAACGTACCGCGCAAAATATCGATTGTGACGTTGGCTGTGTGGATGCATTGGGTTCTCCAAGACGAGGTGTGGATTTTCTGAGCCCCAAATACGACAGTTTTGCTTATTTTATTTTGAAAAATATATACTCGTTGTTTTTTTTATAGCGATTTTAAAACGCAAATATTTTGTGGGTCACCCTATATAAGTTGAAATTTCGTAACCAACTCGGAGAAAACTTTCTCACTCGTCGCAGAGCTTACAAAACTATTTAGAAAATGTTCGGCAAATTTGTTTATAAGCTGACATGATTTAATCTTTTTCCTCGTATTTAGTAACAAAAAATTTTAAACTGTAAACCACAAACTAACACAATTCCTAAAAATGTTCAAAAATGAGAAAAGAACAAACTATTTTTATACATATTCCGCTTGACATTTATATATATTAAAAACTACTTTTTAAAGAACATTTGTATATATTTTAAATAAGGCACAATAATCATGTTTTTTTTTTGTGGTTTCCCCGAAAAGGAAATTAATTCTGCGATCCCACGGGTCCTTGTCTAAACTGGAGGGTGACTCAGAGGATGGCTCTACACAATTGACAAAGTTAGATGTTGTACTCACCTTTCAATTGGAAGTGATCGTTATGGAGGTTAAAGGTCTTAAATCATTAGCTCCCAATCGCATTGTCTACTGCACAATGGAAGTTGAAAATGGCGATAAACTTCAAACGGATCAAGCAGAAGCATCAAAACCAATGTGAGATCATACTACAAACATATCTAAATTTAAAAAAAAATTTTTTGAATAGGTGGGACACACAGGGGGATTTCACAACCACACATCCATTGCCTGTTGTAAAGGTAAAACTTTACACAGAGAATCCGGGAATGCTTGCATTGGAGGATAAGGAACTTGGAAAAGTAACCCTTAAACCTACTCCGCTTTCATCAAAAGTGAGCTTAACTTAAATAAACTTAATTTAATATAAAACATTTGACTCTAATTTAGTCTCCTGAGTGGCATCGAATGATTATTCCGAAAAACCTTCCGGACCAAGATATACGTATTAAGATAGCTTGCCGACTTGACAAACCTTTAAATATGAAACATTGCGGGTACGTACAATGCACTTAAAGATTATTACATTTTAATGCACATTATATAACTATATAGACATCTCTATGCGATCGGGAAATCAGTCTGGAAAAAGTGGAAAAGGCGCTATTTCGTCTTAGTTCAAGTATCACAATATACCTTTGCTATGTGCAGTTATAAAGAGAAAAAATCAGAACCGTCTGAGATGATGCAGCTTGATGGATATACGGTAGATTACATTGAAGCAGCCAGTGGTATATTAATGTGTTTGTTAATAATGTGCAAGATTTATTTTAATACTTACATTTTTTTTAGCCAACTTAATGTTTGGCATCGATTTAAATGGAGGTCGCTATTTTTTTAATGCTGTTCGCGAGGGTGATAGCATTTCGTTTGCTTGCGATGACGAGAACGAATGCAGCCTTTGGGTCATGGCCATGTACAGAGCGACCGGTCAGTCCCATAAGCCAACTCCTCCAATTACACAAGATAAAAATTCGGCAATGTCAAAGATTCAAGGTGGTACGTATTTTTAGTTTTAATTATATAATATATATGCATTGTTGGGTACTTAAATATTTGGCTTATGACAGTTTCAGGAACAGTTACAAATCGTTTTACGAAATTATTTTTGTTGCGATCAACTTTTTTTTTATCTATGTTCGACATTTTTTGACCATGATCAGTATACGCAAATTGTCATTTTATTGCGCTTGTTAGTTTCGGATCTTTGGTCTACTTTGATATGTTTTGTTCCTGATTTATACTAACATTTTTGGCCCAGATGGAATAGTGTTTTTTTTTATTACCTCCTAAAGTTATGATATTTTAAGAGTATGTTATTATTGTTGTCACTCAGAAGTTTTTCAAAATACCAATAATACTTATAGAACCGATCGGACTTCGCATGGGGTGTGGGGTGCTCTTTGCTGTTACTCTTAACTACATTTGTAATATGAACACATCTTATTATCTCTATCCTTTATTATCTTCCTCCTGGATCTGACAACATAATTTTAAATCAAGAACACGTAGACCGTATTGAGTCGGTCCACAAAATTGAATTTTTGTAGTCTTAAGTGGTTAAAAATTAAAGACCATCTAGTCTTTTTACCCTTGTATATTACAATTGCTTAATTTTATTCGTTTCTTCGCCCACACTGAGTTAGAAGCTCGTGCTCTATTCTGCGGGTATTGGGAGAGGGATTCTTAATGCAGAGTAAACCGGCAATCTAGTGTTGCAATCGGAAAACCGCGCTGAGTGTCGTTTTACAAATCCATACGTAGTGGGCTGAAAATTTTTTTATTTTTAATCAAAACAAAGTGGGTGCCGTTGTCGCAATACAATCTGAGAGGGATGCCTCTACAAGCCACGAAACGGCGTACACAAGGCAGGAATGTAACCAAAGACAGATCAGTCACTAGTTCTAGGTGATTAGCTATTGATGTAAAGCAAACAAAGATTCCAGTATAGGTTTTGAAGGGCGGCTTACCCCTAATATACAACTTGTAAAAAATGGGCCACAGAAGTCTACGCCCGAAATCAAAAATGGTCGATTTTGCCTTAACCTATAGGCTGGTAAATCTCACATGATTTGCTTCATTACCTAGGGCTTATAATGTAAGCAATGTATTCAGTTTCGAATCACTGCTCTGGCGTTAATTATCCACAACTATGAGGCAAGATTGCTAGCAGTGCCTTGGGCCCAGCATGATGATTTCAGCGATAAAGATATTCAATGTAAAGATACACAAACCTATTGTTGTAGGGGGCGATCCTGCCACAAAAAAGACTATTTGAAGGCACAAAAAAATTCCCACGGCGCAAACGCAAAGGTGGAAGAAAATGAACAAGTCGGGGGCGTCGCTTTACTCCGCTGAAGCGAGAGCGGGAGATCGGCAGCGGCCGTCCGAGGAGTTCGGATCCGAAACCCGGAGCTCTCACTACGGAGCGCGGACGTTGCGAGAAGCGAGCGAGGGAGCGCAAGAGGGCCGAGAGCGAAAGCTCGGAGAGCTTAGTGAGCAGCGGCGATGCAGTGGGCCACTGACCTAAACACCTTCTTTGGTAAAATGGCTGGAAAGTTCGATTCAAATATTAGTTCGGAATTGATTAGTCGTCCTCTTACCCTCATTATAACGATTCCTGATGTAATTTTCTGTAAAAAAGGTGTAAGCATGTGCAAACTTGGCTGCAAAGGCATTCCTTTTCTTAACGCAAGATTTTCCGACGAAATGTGGGCTATAATTTTCCAAAATGTCTGTTCCATTTCACATGCAGTAATGTGTATGACGTTCTCGCCTTTAAAGTGTTTGTTTGCTGGAACGTTGTTAATAGCTCGGTAGACATACACGAGAATCCCAACAGTTCCTATATATAATGCTGTCGATGATGGACTCTAAAATAGACTCTTAGATACTGGCGAAGTTCAGTAAAGCTTGATTTAAATTGCTGTCCTTTAAATTGCTGCTAAACTTTGAGAGCTGTGATTTAGCCCTACCTGGTATTTTGGTCGATTAAGGTATCTGCGCAGCAGTATCTAACATACATCGTCCACATACAAATCGCTATGCAGCACCGACGTACCGATTGGGCAGTCCCTTCTTTCGCTGTAACGCAAAGATCGTATGGTTTCGTATCGTATAGTTTCCATCTTCTTTGTGATCAGAAAACTGCCTATACATTTTTACAATGTCTTCTGTTGCTGCGAATTTATTAAAACAGAATTTTAAAAGAGTTATTATAAGGTCTGCTTGTATTGTGGGACCTACCAAAAGAATATCGTTAAGCGACTTTCCATTGGTGATTTTGTGGCAGATGGGTCAAATATCACGCGTCACTTTGTTGAAAGGCTCTAGGCTGTAATACACAGTGATGCGGGAGGTAAAAGTTTGGCCTAGCACGATCTACGCTTTTAGCTTGTGACATATGTGGTAGATATTCTTTCATAATATAAACATACTACTTTTTTAGTTGGGGACTTTTTTTAAACAACAACATTAATTTTTAAAGGGTTGATCAAATGAATTTCCCAGTTTATCAGTCTATTGAGTATGTTTGAAGACAGTATTTCTCGCATCATTTCTCCTCTTCAGCGAGAAAGCTTTTTGACACTCTTCTATTTTTATTATTTGGTTTACGAGTTTGTAGAGTGAGACCTTTTCTTGAATGACATTACATAATTGAATGTTGTTTATAAATGTTGTCACCTACAATCCAACCGAACGCTGTGTTTATTAAACTTGGTATGTTTTTTCCTAGCCTATACGTTCCGTATTGATAAAAAGATCTATTTTTAACGAAACATGAAATTGATGGTCTGCTAGAATCAAGCCTTCTGGTAATTTCCATTTTGGAAAGTCAGGCTGTTTCGCACAAATTGTTTTGATTATTGACAACGTTGAAAACCATTCAAAGGGACAGGTACGCGATTTTATAGTTGCAAACACAGTATAATGAATCTTTTTTCTGACTTCTGGAATCGTACACTAACTTATTGTTGTACATGAGACCTGCCAAGTTTAATGTTTCCTCGTTTATGAAATTGACTTCAGAACCTGTGCCTGCACGGCGCGTTCGATAATATGCGTGGCCTCCGATCCACAGTCCACTAAAGCACGGATGATAGTTGATTGACCAGTTGCTTCGTTGTGTAATCTGACAAGTGCAGTAGCGAGAAACATAGTTGTCGGCGATTGAAATTAGGCGAAATTGTGGCTGCGAAATGACCCGTGCGTGTCACAACAGACGATAGGGACTATAGGGATTCAAACGAGATCTATGGTCTGGATCGGCTAAAGAGTTGACCGATGAAAGAGTCGTGTCGCAACGGTTTGAGAATGAGGAAAATGTAACAGAGTGCGATGTCTCTGTACCCATTGCATACAATTTCGGCTGCTTGGACACTGGGACAGTGTGTGAGCATTGCTGAGGCAGTTAAGGCTTTCGGTCTACAACAGAGTCCTTGTGAAGGGCCTCCACAATGCAAGCAGCGTATTGTAGGTGCACTTTCAGTCGTGGTGTGGAAGCTGTTTCCTCTGTGGACGGTGCTGTTGGCTGGTCTCGATGTCGATAAACGAGGTGCTTGGTGCGGCGTTGTGTGCCGGACGGGTACCGGTGAGCATCGATTTTCCAAAATATCAAGCCTGCTGTTGAGGAAAGATTCAAGTTGCGAGAAAGTTGGGATCTTGACAGAATTGCCAAGGCTGTGCTCCCACGTTTGCAGAGTGGTAGCGAGAAGCTTGTTGATAAGGTGGTGCACAACTAACTGATCACTACCTATAACCGTCTTTGACTTTCAAAGTGAACGGTCGTGTTTTTTTCTGCGCTTCGAATTTTGTATTTTGTTTTGTTTATTCCCATCGGTGGGTTTTATCAACACAATTTTAATTTTCTTCCGGTTATTCAAACATAAATTTAAACTCCGTTCGCTTCGCGAGTGCACTTGTAGTAATACTAATAAATTGTTTTAGTTTTCGTAATTCTTATCTGTGTTTTCTTTTCTTATATCCCCGCCGTTTCTCTTTTGTGCATGCACTTTAACTAATTTACGCTCCCGCTCTCTTGCTCTCTTTGCTTTGAAAGTTCTAAGCGTGCAGTTTCTGCGCTCTTGCGGTACGTATAACTGCTCGCTTATAAATTTCAATTCGTTTTCTTGGTACAGTGGTTCCAATAAATAAAATGAATAATAAAAATTTAGTCTGCTTCTGCAAAAAATGCAGCCTCGTAATCAGGGCTGACCAGTCTAATATGACTTGCTGGCTGTGTGAAAATATGGTGCACACCAAGTGCGCCGGTTTTACTGGCCGGACAAGTGATGACCTTTCAAAGGGGCCAAATTTGCAGTTTTGTTGTGACGCTTGTGTCGAGGTTGCGAACGAGATGAAATCGTTCATGCGCCAAACTAAAGGCGGCCTGATGGGGCTGATTAGCTGTTTCGGAGTTGCTAGAGATAGTTTTCGCCGAGCTGATGATCTCCTCTCTGGGCTGGACTCGCAGTTTAAGGCCGCTGGTGGTAAGGAGCAAAAGGGGAACACCCCGCAATCGAAATCAAAAGAACAACAGAGCATTCCGGCGGATCAGCAGCTGATTTCAGCAAACCCTCAAATGTTGCTAAAATCAGCAGCTAAAAAAGATTCGGTATCCGAACCATCCGTAACAGAATGCATGCAACCAGGGACTTCTAAGAATTCAGATTTGTCCGTAGTGGTTTCACAATTAGTGGATCCACCTATCTCTCAGAATGTAGCATCACCACCACAAGGGACTACTGAGTCCGGACAACCGGCTCAAGTTGGTTTTGCAGAAACAATGTCTGCTCCACCAAAATCCCTTTCAGTGGTTCCACTAAAGAAACAAATTTTCGTTTCTCGGCTTTCCCCTGATCAAACATCTTCTGATGTATTGTCTTATATACAAGACAAAACTAAAGCCGATTGTAATAGTGTGAAGGTGGAAAAGTTTAAGTTTTCTTATGCTAGAGACATTTCATCTTTCAAGATAACTGTCCCTAACGAGCTTTTTG